GTGGGTGAGAAATGGTCTTATAACAGCTCTTCATAGTATTGTTTACCTTGCCATGTTCGAGACAGGATTACAAGGCAAGCCCCCAAGACTTGAGTCATACTGTGATGTAGCCTTGTCTATGTGGAGACAGTCAAGGTCACCAGGACACCATGGCAGAACCATTCCCCTCCAACCACAACTAGAATGAAAGTTCCATGAGTGTAAATCTGTATCTCGCTTGTTCACTATTTCCCCAGTACCTAGAATAGTGCCTGACAGAGTAGATGCTTGGCAAATATTTGATTTATGAGTGCATCACAAGACAGGTGAATAGGAGCTTATAAGGTCTGCCTCTTCTGGAGTGAGAAGGAGGTATCTTCCCTCCCTCTCTCCACCTCAAAGTGGGATCCATGTCGGTGTCTTTCCTGGTTCTTCTTTAGCTTTAATGTTTTACCTCTGTCACTGCTGTTCAGTTCACTTTCACTTCTAAAATCATATAGAAAGAATGACATTGCTAAGGTGTTTGTTTACTCCTCTTCCCTCTTCTTCACTGAATGCTCCTAACCAGGAGCAAGACCAGTCTCTAAGAAAGTTGGATTGAATGTTAGAATGTTGGGTCACTGACCTTTCTGCCATAACAGTGTGGTTCTCAACCTTGGCTGCACCTTAGAATTCACTTTAAGAAAGAAAAAAAACTTTTTCCCAGGCTCCACCCATGGAGACTCTGATTTAATTACTCTGTTATGGGGCCACGACATTGCTGGCCAGGACATCTCCCCAGTGATATTAATGTATAACCAGGGCTGAGAAACCACAGCCTTTAGTAGAGTACAGGCTTGTAACCTAAACCAAGTGTTTTTTGGTGCACCACCTCTTTTGTTTTAAATGGGAAACAAAATATTTTATTCTACAAAAGAGAGAACAATTAAATGCAAATGGTCCCAGGAGAGGAATTGGACTGATCTAAAGATAGTAGTGCTTAAGCACTGGGTTCCAAAGTCAGATGACCTGGGTTGGAGTGCAGACTCCAGCCAGCACTTACCAGCCAGATGATCTTGGGCAACTAACTTAACTTCTCTAACATATGAGAGAGTATCAGAGTATGCCAGGCATGCAACAGTCCTCAATAAGTTTAATTCTGAATAAGTTTCAGAGTATGCCAGGCATGCAACAGTCCTCAATAAGTTTAACTCTCCAAACTTCATCTGTAAACTGATGGTAATATTGCCTGCCTGTCTACCTCCTACAGCTGCTAAGACTGAAAAGAGATAATGACCTTAAAAGCACTTCGTAAATGTTTAGGTGCTATAAAAATGGAAAGCATAAATACTATTGTTCTTTTATGAACATGTTAAACATATATATCACTCTTCAAAAACTTTCCTAAGAATCTTTACACCTGTGGTCTACAGAGTCTTTCAGCAGCCCTGGAAGTAAAATGGGCAGTAAGTTAACTAATAAGAAAACTGATAGAAAAATGAGAGGTTGTGTGATCTGCACAAGATTGCTCAGTAAAACTAAGACTGGAAGAACCATTAACTCAAAGAAGAGATTCTCTTCACCAGATGGTTTATTAACAGATACCCCTAAAGAAGTAGGTTGGTCATCTGATCAGAACTCTGGACTAATGGGACAATTTATTTTACTTGTCCTTTTCAAAGCAAGGATTGTAAATGAGGAAATCCAATCAATATTCCCCAGGTCTATATTCAGTCCTTAGGTACACAGTTTAGTTTTCGTTTCCACCTCTATTTAATCTCATAAAAAATTTTAGTGACCATCATGCTTGTACATTGAGCAAAAGAAAAAGAAACCTTCCTCACTTCACCACCATCACCTTTGTTTCTTACTTCCAGGTGCCACTTTTCTAATTTGAACACTCAAAATGCAATGAAATGGCAACACTAAAGACTACTAGCCACAAGATGGCAGAGTTTACCATTTCATTTTTTCCTGTTTATATCATTCATTCATGCAAGAATTATTCTCTGAGTGCCTACTATGTGCGTAGTGCTTTTATAGGAATCAAAATGATTACAAAAGAGGCACACTATGTGACATGGCTCCTGCCCTTGATGAAGGTGGGGCAGGGGAAGTTTGTAGGGAAGGGAAAAACACACCTGAGAACACTTAAATGAAAATACATGTTGATGTGTGATGACAGGCCAAATGAGTGCTATAGACAGCTGTATGACTTTACATTGAGCCAGAAGGTCTGCGTGGAGTGGGTGAGAACTGAGCTGCGGCTTGAAGGATGAATAAAATAGACGGGTTGGAAAGAAAGAATAAATCCCAGGCAAAGAGACCAGTGCAGGTCATGCTACTGAGGTAAAAATGAGCAAAACATGTGCGCAGGTCATTGATGAGACTAACCTGGTTATAACAAATGGAAATTGGGCTAACAAGATTGAAATAAATTAGATCTCCACTGATTTTTGCTAGAAGGATGCCCGCCATAAAAGCTAAAGTTATCTATTAAGTCTGCCAGTAACTATAGCCTTTGGGCAAGCAATTTGTTCTAGCTTCAGTTTTATCATTTGTAAAATGTGCAGGTTGGGCAAGGAGACCTCTATAGCCTTTCCAAATCTTATTTTTTTTTAAATAAAGACAGGCAGGTGGGGAAGAAGGGAGGAAGGAAAGAAGGAAGAGGAGAGGGGAGGAAAAAGAAAACTGATTCTAATCTCTCTAGCAATTGCTGTATGGCCTTGGACATGTTTCAGTTGCACACATGAACAGTGACAGTCTAGCATGGTGTTTAGGGCTTGAGCTCTATTGTTAGCTAGACTTAGTTCAAGTCTTTGAGACAGGGACCATGGGTGTAGTCAGAGTAGGGTGAGGGCCTCCGGGGAAAAAGTAGGGCGGAATATTTATAGTCAGAGCAATGTAACAATGGGCAAAGAAGTCCCTCTTGAAACTCTGTGCTAAGTATTATGAAAAGTCAAGGTCACACTAATTCTCCAGGGTAAAGATACAGACATCTTCAGTGAGATCAGTTAAAGGTCAAAAGGCCAAGAGCAACTTGACCTAGAATGTTTGAGTGTTCTGCAAGGGTATCAGCATAATCCATGACTCTGCTGTCAGCCGTAGCAATCAGACTATGACCCATACCACCTTGAGGACAGAGCAGGTGATACAAGTCCACAACCCTAAGCCTTTTTTTGATGTTCTCAAAAAATCCTCATCTGCCTATAAAACCCCCTAGATAATGCACCACTATGGGTTCTCTTGTCCCCTCCTGGCATGAGCCAGGAGCTCTTTCCTCTCACTTTATTTCTAAATAAAAGCCTGTACCTTGCTCTCCTACCTTGAGTGTTTGTGAAGCTCATTCTTCGGCTTCGTGAACAAGAACCCCGGCATCATCTTGGATCATCACTTATTGTTTAACAGTAGGCAAGCTAACTTAGACTCTAACCTTCACTCGTTCATTCAACAAATATGCATGTAACAACTTACTATATGCTGAGCCCTATGCTAGTCACTGGGAGTAGAGGAATAAACAAGACAGATACAATGCCTTCTATGGAACTTACAGTTTTGTAAGAGAGACAGTCCAAAAACAATCACAAAAGAAACTAGATACAAATGTACTAAGTGAAAAAGTACAGAGTGTTATGAGCGCAGATAATGTGAAGGCCTAACCCAGTCCGCAGTCTGGTCGGTCAGAGATGGCTTCCCCAATGAAGGATGAGCCAGGCAAAGAAGAGAAAAACAGTTCAGGTCAAGACATCCGAAAGGGCTTTAAGACTAGGAGGAGCTTGGTGTAGTAAGGAACTAAAAGGCCACTGTAGCTGAGCACAGAGAACTAGAAGGATAAAGGCAGAGGGGAGACCAGGATATGTAAGTCAGCAGAACCTAGGTTATATAGTGTCCATGAGAAGTCTGTTTCCTCATCTGTAAAAGGAAAAATAGTAACACCTCCCTCACAGGGTAACTGTAAAGATTACAGGGCACCACTGCCCTCTCCCATCCTGCCTCCTTATTGAATCTATCACCAAGTTCGATGAGAACCACCTCCAAGAAATTTGTCACCTCCAAAATGTTTCCATCTCCACTGCCACCATCCTGCTCTAAGTCACCATCTCTGGCCTGGACTATTGCTACCTGGTCCTCTGACTTCCACTTTTTCTCCCCTCAAACCATTACCCTGCAGCAGCTCAAGTGATCTTACTAAAATGTAAATCTGATCATGGCACACCTTTGCTTAAAACCTTTGGTGACTTCTCATGCTCTTAGGATAGAGACCAAATCCTTAAGACATATGCTAGTGATGGTCCCCCTCGCTGAGATGTGCCTTTCAGCTCTGGACTCCCATCCTCTACTTACCTAGTCCATTTCAATTCTCCTTACTTCTCTTCTTCAGGGAAACTTTCCCTGATTCCAGCCCACCATCTATTTGAGCTCTTTTGGTATTTGCCCACTAAGAACTATATTTTTTCCCTTCTTATCACTTATCTCTGTAATTTTTCACCAGTGTGTTTAATGTCTGTTTCTGTCACTAAAACATAAACACCAAGAAAGCAAGGAACATGTGTTTTTTTGCTTATTTTTGTATCCCCAGAACCTTTCCCAATGCTTGACATATAGTGTAAGTCTGGGGAAAGGAAATCCAGGACAAAATACCTCTAAAAACTGAAATCAGTCAAACAGAGAAATGAAGTTTAAAACCCGTTTATTGCTCACAAACTGCAGTCCAGGGCTTTCTCTCTTTCCTGCTCCAGCAGAAGCAAAACCGGCCCTCCCCTTCACCTCTCAGGTATAGATAAGCCCTTGGTTGCCCAGGTAATTACCCATTGATATGGAGATGAACTTCTCTCCACCCCTGAGGAATGATACAAATGCACTAAAGCCATACTTCTCTCCACCCTTGAGTGCCTGTTGATATGCAGATGTACTAAAGCCAGGCGAGGTATTCTGGAAATATTACAATTTTACCCACATATAGGAAGTACTCAGTGAATATTTGTTGAATGATGGAAGTGTTTCACTACTGCTACTGATAAAAATAACAGTAATAGTTATTATTGTTATTCAGTTATATGTATTATTATTATTATAAATGTGCTATTTCATTGAGAGTTACCCCTCCAGGAATGAGCTCTAAGCAACAGTGGTACAGACCACATTGTTGACCAGTAAATACCCTACCATCTTTTCTCAGAGCCTCTATGACTATATTTAGATCACATGTTATTATCCAACTACATTTACCACCATGCATGGTTATGAGGCTCTGGAGTTAAACTGGACCTAAATCTTTGCTCTGCTATTTATGTGTGTGTGTGACTTTGAACAAGTTGGTCTTTCTGGGATAAATTTGTTCTCAGACTCATGAGATTTTAATGAAATCATGCATGGAAAGTGCTTATTACTACAGTGTCTGGAATATAATGTACACTCAACAATATTGTTACATCTTACAGATTGTTGATTAATCTAAACGAGTACCTATTAAAATGTACAGTGAAACCAGAATATCAAAGGGCCTGTGACAGTATGCTGTCTCAGTCTGCTGGGTGAAAAACTCCCTCAGGATATATGAATATGATTGAATCTTCCTGTAATCCTGAGAAATAATGGTAACTATGAAGGAGGCAAGAACGGCTACAGAAGGTTGAGTCAGGAGCCTCTGAGCATTATAATGTATTGTTTATATTATGTGCTAATAATGTCATCTGGATGCAAAAACAATAGATTAGGCCCCAAAGGGTTGGCTTTCTAAATGGTAGCAAACCTCTGAGAGTACCAATATAAAATTTATACTTGATCCAATCTTTCTTTGGACCTTTAGTGTCCCTGATTCTCCAAAACTCATTAACTTGAGGAAACTGAATTAATTGCCCATGTCCTTTGTGGGGGACTTAGCTGAGAGCCCATTTTCCTCCACTCAAATGTTACCTGATATGCTTAAGCCACTGCTGCTCCTTTGGACAGATACCTTTTGAAAAGGGAATTTGGGTAGGCAAAGCCTTCATGATTCAAGGGATGGAATTTCAAATGGTGAAATCTAATAAGACATTCAATGCAAGAAAAAGATTCAGGAAAACCATATAGCCCTGCGTGCTTCAGATAAAGCACACAGATTAGGAATGGTGTTTAGGGTCAGGTAGATGGAATTTTAAATCCATCAAACCCTAGATATGCAACATACTAGCTTGAGTGACCCAGGTAATTTAATTAATTCCATTTCCTCAACTGTACAATGGGGATAATAAGGATCTATCTTACCAGGTTGTTAGAAAAACTAAACACTATGACAAAGTCATCCAAGAAGAGTCTGGTATGATTTTGAGTGCTCACACATTATTATTATTTAATCACATCTAGTGGTTAAATGAGCTGGCTTTGGCCTATTCTTTCTGAAACCATGATGGTCTCCTCCCAGAGAGCCTGGGGCCTTTGTGGTCTCCCAACCTATTTGTATTTCAGGCAAAGGGTGAAAGGGGCAGCAAATGATGGGAAGTCCAGACCTCTGGCCACTGGTCCCACTTAACTGGTAATAGCCACATGCAGGACACAAAGGGGTGAAACTTGGAAAGAAACCCAAAGCTTCCCCACTGCAATAAAAATACAAGCACAATTCACTACACAGTTGACCCTTGAACAACATTGGTTTGAACTGTGTGGGTCCACTTATATGTGGATTTTTCAATAAATATACTAGAAAATGTTTTGGAGATGCATGACAATTTTAAAAAAATTTTTCTCTAGCTTACTTTATTGTAAAAGTACAGTATATAGCACATATACAAAACATATTAATCAACTTTGTTATCAGTATGGCTTCTGGTCCACAGTAGGCTATTAATAGTTAAATTTTGGGGGAGTCAAAAGTTATGTCCAGATTTTTGACTGCCCTTAACCCTCATGTTGTTCAAGGGTCAACTGTAATTTTGCCCACGTTTCTGCTGGGAGAAGTTTGCACACTAATGTTTTACATAAAGGCCACCAGGTCAATTAACATTCTGAGCGCTTAAAGGAATGGGGTAATGGGAAGCAGGTAGTAAGCAAGATCTTTCCTCTCTCCTACAGCCTGCTCTCACCAACTACCCTGATGCCCCAGACACCACTTCTCTTCCCAGCAAACCGTAGTTTTTCAGAACCCTTCAGTCTGCTACCAGAAACCTCAGATGGTTTCTGCTTCTGCTGCCCTTAAAAAACAAAAGAACCAATTATTTCACCGGTGAAATGCATCTGTTTGGGAATAGAAAAGGAGGAGGCTGGCAAACCATAGGCACTCTGGAGAACAGAGGAGAAGGGCTTGCCTTCACAGGGGAAAGGAAGAAATTAGGAGGGCTGTTTTGCTGAGTTCTCATTAGCTGTGCTGTTGCTGGCCAGGAGAAATTCTTCCCTCCTCCAGCTGGGGTGTATAAAGCAAGCTTCTTCCTGCCAGGGAATACAACGTACGCTTCTTATGAGAAGTGACAGTGAATGCACACTCCCCACTCAAGGCTTCCCAACTCCATTTCAATGCAATTTCCTTTATTTATGTTCACATTCCCCTCTTTTGACCAAGATCTTTTCTTGAAAAGGTTGCTGATCAAGAGTCAAGGTTTTTTGATATTTAGTGGTTTTGTCCCTTGGTGCCAGAAAGCCCTTTCCTGGTTGTCATGTTCCACATCAGAGGAACAGTACCTAGATTAGAAACTGTTGAAGCCACATTTGAGTAACAAGGAAGGGTAGGAGGGAGAGCTCTCAGGCATTTTCCATCTGACGTAAGTGTTGGAGGTGCTTATAAAGGTCAAAGTGCATCACACTACCAAGCAAGTCATTGCTACAAAGGTTTGACAGGCAACAGGTATAAAGCTTAAAAATGATTAAGATGAGGAACAGACATTTCCAAGGCACCATTCTAGCTTGAAGAATCTTTTCCAAAGTTCTTGCAGACAAGATAGCTTATTTGTATTTCCCATGAGTACAGGGGAACAAACAGTATTTAAATAAGGAAGACTAAGGGATCTCCAATATCATGAACAGATCAGAGTTTCTGGGGACAGATCGAACAGTCAGAAAGGTTTCTCCCTTTTACATCAGATGGTGCCAAGAAGGAAAGGGACGAAATAAGAAGCAACAATGAGAAAAAGGTACACAGGTCTGATCCGGTCATCTTTGGAAAGCTGTCTCCTTCAGTTATCATCTGCTTCAACTCCTGGAAATCTTTATTTTCAGGTCATCAGTTGGTGTGCAGGTCCAGTCAAGGTTTTGTGCTTTTTTTAGGTGTGACTCATGGATCCAAGAGTCTATTCCTAGAGTTTCACAGCACAAGGGTTAGTTAACATTACCTGACAGGGGCCTTTCCAACAGTGCTAAACAGAGTCTTCCTGGAGATGTCTCTTCCAATAGATGAAATCTCTGGGTACAAAGTGTGATGTTCAAGGTCTTCATCTCCTGGGATCACACTATAGAAAGACTATTCTGCTAAAGCATGGTTATTTTCAACAGTAGCAATTAGGCCTTTGCAATATTGAAGTATATCCCCCTTTACCAGTTGTGGATCAAAGTAAGCAGGAGCTGAATGCATTGGGCATCCTGAGATTCTCTCAAAGGGTTAAGAGTTTATGCATTCCAAAAGGAATAGACCTGAGATTTAGAAGGATTAATGGCAGTGCTTTTATCTGTTAAGCAGGAAAATAGATATGAGCGGGGTGGACAGAGAATAAGGTCAGCAAAGCCGCCTAGAAAGAACTCAGTTAACCAGTTAAAACTAGAAAGCCAGAAAAGACATAGAGTTAATGAGTTAATCAGTTAAAGCTCAAAAAGCCAGGAGCAACTTGGCCTGGAATGTTTGAATACTCCACAGAAAAGAAAAGTATCTGAGCACAGCCCAAGTCTTCATTGTGTCAGTTAGATCATGCCACTGCAAGATTTACTTTAGCCTGCTAAAAGGCCCAGCTATAAAGAGCATAATAAAGACAGGTAGATCCCACCTTAAAGCCAAAATTTCATTTTAAAAAAATTTAGGAAGTTAAGAATTAAGATTCTTAACATACTCTTTAGCAAACAAATAACTCTGCCCACCTTGGGGGCTAGGCAAGCAGTCTTGTTTGATATGTTCCCAGACCAAGGCACTGGTATCCCAGGGAGAAATCAGACCAGGAAGTTCCTTGTGTTAAGTTAATTCTAAATATTCAGAGATCCCTTAACAAGTCTGTACCCCCAGCCTTAGACACATTCCTAAAGAATCCTTAAAAGGGGAACCCCCAACCTTTCACGGCACTCCTCTCTCTGAGATCACCGGCACTTTCTAAGGGCATAACCTTTTAACGTTAAACTCTCTCTTTTCAACCTTTCAGGGCACCTCTCCTTGCTGAGGTGGCATGTACTTTTTCTCTCTTTGAGTAACTTTAAATAAAACTTTTGCTCTGCTTTATTACTGTGTCTCTGCCCTTCAATTCTTTGTTGCGGCAGGGACAAGAACCAAGGAAAATACACAATGCTCCCCCCAACATAGCCAGGGTATTTGAAGGATCTCTACAAATTTTGCTTATGCCATTAGTGCATTCAAATAGTTCCGAGAACTGAGGGTGGTAAGCACAAGGAAAATGGTGTAACACAAGAGAAATTAGTTCCCCAGTCACTTTGAAGTTTAAGAGGAGTTCCCCAGGTAGGAATGATCTTTTCTAGTAGGATTTTAGCCACGTAAGTAGCAGTGTCCTATCTATAAGGGAAGGCTTCAGTACAATGAGAAAACATACAAATCATTACCAAGACATATTTATATCCATGAGATGAGGAGACTGAATAAAATCCATTTGCCAAAACTCAAATGGGCCATTGAGCAATTTAAAGTGTCTGGGAGCAGTATGGATAGGTTTTCCTGAACTGTATTTTGGGCAGGAAGGGCAAAGTAGATACTCTCTGCAGTTTTGTTAATACTTCTCCACTAGTATTGGTTCATAAAGGTTATCATTTTATCAATATACCAATGAATCAATGAATTTACAGTAGTCTGTTATGGGAACTTCAGAGAGTGTCTGGCAGAACTGGATTATTATTTGGCCCAAGCCAGAGTTTTGTTTTCTTTTGTTTATTTTTTCATTGTTTATTTTTTTTAATGGTTATTAGATGGCCAATATTGTTTTTCTTTTTGGGGACCAATTTTTGGGCATCTCTAGTCAACTTTTCTAGATTATAATTTCGGAAAACATCCTTTTGGACCATAACAGAGGTTTGCTTTAGGTTTCTTTAAAGGCATCGTTCTTCATGGGAATATCAGCAAGATAGTTTCCATTAGCCTCCAGGGACTCAAGTTTGGAGTGCCCAGGGACCTTGATAATGGCCAAGGCAGCTGGCAAGAGTATAGCATCTAATAATTCCTGGACATGTAGGCCATTTTTAATTTTGTCTCCACTGGAAGAAAGGAAAGCTCACTGTTTCCATAGCATTCCAAGGTCATGAGCTGCTCCAAGGGCACACCTCCTGTCAGTATAGATATGGACAGTTTTGCCCTTGGATAAAATGCAGGCCTGAACAGGAGCATACAATTCAGACAGTTGAGCTGGGTAGCTGTGGGCAAAGGTGCTACCTTGAGGACTTCAAAACCAGTTACAATAGTATATTCACCGTATTTATCATTTTCACCTTTTAAATAAGAACTGTGGGTAATACAAGAAAAGTAAGTGTTATTCAAAGGAGTTTCTTGTAAGTCATCGTAGGGAGAGGAGGTGGGGAGGTGTCAGGTGGCGATCTATGAGTCAGATATAACAGTTGTGAGGAGTATTGTCCACAAAAGAGGGAAGAAGGACAGCAGAGTTAAGATTACTACAGATCTTGTAGGAGGTAAGACGATTGGCTGAACGGTGTTGAGTGTGATGCAAATTCAGGAGAGCTTCTACTGCATAAAGTACAAGATGGTTAGAGGAGATCCCATGACTATCTCATTGGTGGCCTTGACTTAACAGGCAGTGACCAGACAAGGGAGCTATCCTGTTACACAGGGTCTACTTGTCAGCTATGATACCCTGAGTCAATGGTGGACCCCATGTTTCTGGGTCAGAACCCAAGGGAATTCCCTCCCTTTTCAAATACAAAAGGAAACAGGGAAGTTGATAATTGGAGTACCCAAGAGCAGGGGGGGATTTATCAAGATTTCCTTTAGAGCTTTAAAGGCTAAATTATCCTGATCTTCTTATATAATAGGGTCAGGTTTATTGTTTTTTTAAAACAATAAACAATTTTATTGTTTATTCTTTTTTAAAACATATATGGTTGCAGCCATAAGACCGACGTTTAGAATCCAATTTTGACAGTAGCCAACTAGCCCAAGTAGCCAGCGTGGCACTTAGCTTTGGGAAACTAAATAGTCCATGATGCCTATTTGGATCTAAAGGTAGCCCTTGTTCTGCAATCAGGTGCCCCAAATATCAAACCTAAGTTTGAGCAAACTGCAATTTCTCCTCGGAAACTGTGTCCCTTTAAGGCTAAAAGTTTTAACAGGTGGATGCTGTATTCTGCAAAGAGTTCTGAGAAGGGGAGCACAGAAGCAATTTTTTTACATATTATAATGAAGTATAGCCTCCAGGTAACTTCATATCATCTAAATTGCCTTTTAAAAACTGGGAGAAGTAGAAAGGCCACATATGACAAACCCACAGCCAACATCATACTTAAGAGCAAAAAGCTAAAAGCTTTTCCTCTATAATCAGGAACAATACAAGGATGCCCACACTCACCATTTTTATTCAACATAGTTCTGGCGGTCCGAGCCATGGTAATCAGACAACACAAAGAAATAAAAGGGATCCAAATCACTAAGGAAGATGTTGAACTGTCACTGTTTGCAGACAACATGGCATTATACATAGAAAACCCTAAAAACTCCACCAAAAAACTATTAGAACTAATAACTGAATTCAGCAAAGTTGCAGGATACAAAATCAATACTCAGAAATCTGCTGCATTCCTATATACTAACAATGAAGTAGCAGAACGAGAAATCAGGAAAACAACTTCATTTACATTGTATCCAAAAGAATAAAATACCTAGGAATAAACCTAACCAAAGAGGTGAAAGACCTATACTCTGAAAACTACAAGACACTCATGAGAGAAATTAAAGACACAAATAAATGGAAATACATCCCATGCTCATGGACAGGAAGAACTAATATTGTCAAAATGGCCATCCTGTCTAAAGCAATCTACAGATTCAATCCCTATCAAAATACCAACAGCATTCATTCTTCAATGAACTAGAACAAATACTTATAAAATTCATATGGAACCACAAAAGACCCCGAATAGCCAAAGAAATCTTGAGAAGTAAGAACAAAGCTGGGGGGATTACACTCCCAAACTTAAAAGATCTACTACAAAGCCGCAGTAATCAAAACAATTTGGTACTGGCACAAAAAAAACAGACCCGCAGATCAATGGAACAGAATGGAGAGCCCAGATATAAACCCACACATATATGGCCAATTAATATATGGTAAAGGAGTCATGGATATACAATGGGGAAATGACAGCCTCTTCAACAACTGGTGCTGGCAAAGCTAGACAGCTACATGTAAGAGTTTACACAAAAGTAAACTCAAAATGGATCAAAGACCTGAATGTAAGTTGTGAAACCATAAAAGTCATAGAAGAAAACTCATAGGCAAAAATCTCTTGAATATAAACATAAGCAACTTTTTCTTAAACATATCACCTCAGGCAAGGGAAACAAAATAAAATATGAACAAGTGGGACTACGTGAAACTAAAAATCCTATGTACAGCAAAGGATACCATCAGCAGAACGAAAAGGCATCCTACAACATGGGAGAATATATTTGTAAATGACTTACCCAATAAGGGGTTAACATCCAAAATATATAAAGAACCCAGAAAGCAAATAACCCTATTAGAAAATGGGTGGAAGATCTAAACAGACACTTTGCCAAAGAAGAAATTCAGATGGCCAACAGGCACATGAAAAGATGTTTCATACCACATCAGGGAAATATAAATTAAAACCACAATGATATATCACCTCATACCAGTTAGGATGGCCAACATCCAAAAGACAAGAAACAACAAATTCTGGAGAGGATGCGGAGAAAGGGGAACACTCCTACACTGCTGGTGGGAATGTAAATTAGTTCAACCATTGTGGAAAGCAGTATGGAGGTTCCTCAAAAAACTAAAAATAGAAATACCATTTGACCCAGTAATTCCACTCCAAGGAATTTACCTGAAGGAAATAATTTCTCAGATTCAAAAAGACAGATGCACCCCTATGTTTATCACAGCACTATTTACAATAGCCAAGATATGGAAGAAACCTAAGTGTCCATCAGTAGATGAAAGAAGAAAATGGAATATTATTCATCCATAAAAAGAAAACAAATCCTATCATTTGCAACAACATGGATGGAGCTAGAGGGTATTGTGCTCAGTGAAATTAGCCAGGCAGAGAAAGACAAGTACCAAATGACTTCACTCATTTGTGGAGTACAAAAGCAAAGCAAAACTGAAGTAAAAATAATAATAGCAGACTCACAGACTCTGAGAAGGGACTACTGGTTACCAAAGGGGACGGGTTGGGGTGGAGGAGAGGGGTTGGGAAGGGTGGGTGGGAATGGAGAATGGGATTAAGGGGCCCTATAATTCACAATTAACAATATAAGTAGGTCATAGGGAAAGCGGTACAACACGAAGAAAACAAGTAATGACTCCATAGTATCTTACTATGCTGCTAGACAGTGACTGCAATGGGGTTAGTGCATGGGGTAAGGACTTGATAATATGGGTCAATGCTGAATTCACAATGTTGTTCATGTGAAACCTTCATAAGATTGTATATCAGTGATACTGTAATAATAAAAAAAGAATTGGGAAGCAGGAAGGACTTTCAGTAAAACCCTGGGACATTACTGTCCAGGTGCATTGCTTTCCTTCCCACGTAAAGGCAAAGAGTTATTGACTGGCCTTATCCACAGGAAAATCAATCACAATGAAAAATTTGACGGAGCAAATAAAAGATGTTAGAGAGTCATTTGATTCACCTGGTTGGCTATTTTGGTTGCTGTCATTCTAGAATTCCCTCTCCCTTTTGGAAAAAATCCCGGCATGAGATTTCTCTAAGAAATCTTGGCTCAATAAATGAATAGGTGTAGGAAAAATGGGTTCCCATAGCCAGGATCCTCTCGTGACCCTAATCTACTAGTATGTGCATGCTTGCGCACATTTTGGCAATGAATCCTTATCGACTGTGTTGTTATAAGGACCTCCCCCTATTGCTATGCATGGAGCAGAAGGCAGAGGCAAAGGCAGAGACAGATTACAGACTTGCCAGGTGCAGATGTGATTCTAGCACTCAACGTGCCATCACAAGAATAAAGCTCGGTATAAGACCTTTTACCGCCAACATTCCATTGTCATTATTCAGTCTCATCAAATCCAGAGTGAACTTGCCTGAAGCTGGAAACCTGTGTCATGACATTTGGCATGGTCTGCAGGAATTGCTCCAGACCAAAAAACAGAATAAGCTGCCCTCATGGGAGGAGTACTTTAGTAGGCTGACCCTAGGAATGGGGAGACACGTGGATATTCCCCCAGTGGACATAAGGTCTGAGGTGGCAATCCTCCTACAGGAGTGGATCCCTCCAGAACAGGGGGAGGTGGAGGTGATGCCTGAGGCAGTAGAGTTGGCCCTCTGCAAAATAGGGAGGTCATTAGAGAAACATAGTGCCCACATGGCAGTGGAAACCATGGGTTGGCTATTCCTCACAGTGTTAAAAAGGGACATAAAGGAGAAGAATGTACTCCTGCAAGAAGCATGAGAAGAGGTAAAGGTCATGAAGGAGGAAAAAATTCATTGATGACTGAGATGGCATCACTATGGAGAAGGTAAAGAATGTAATGGTGGCATGAGAAGAGGCAGCACAAGAACACAGGCTGCGAGGTGCTGTGCAGGAGGTAAAAGATTTGTTGAAGAATGAGATGGTATCACTGCAAGCCTCTATGGAAGAGGTAAAGGCCATGAAGGAGAAGGATGTACTCCAGCGAGAAGCACGAGACAAGACAGCACAAGAATGCAAGCTACAAGGTGCAGTGGAGGAGGTAAGAGATTTGTTGAAGATTGAGATAGCATCACTGCAAGGCACTGTGGAGAAGGTAAAAGAGGTAGTGATGGAGGCACTCAGTGAAGCAGCGAGAGCTGCCATCAGTCAGCTCTGGAAGCAGCAGAGCATACATCGGAGGACTAGTGGGTGGAGGTGGTACCAGAGGCACCAACCCCTACTCTATTGAAATCCTTCCCAGTTGTAGTCAAGAAAATAAAGACACAGCAACTACAGGTTTCTCTGGGAGAGTTGCAGCCCCCTCCCCAGGTCACAGAGCACTCCATGCTCTGCCCTGCTATACAGGTGATGCTGGTGGATTTGGGCTCCTAGTTTCAGCAGAAACCCTGAGAGTCCCTATTAGCCTATCTTCTGCGCCTTTGGGATGTAGGTGTGAATGGGATCATTCTATCTGGATCAGAGATGGGAAAATGAGTAAGCTGGCTTCCCTGACAATTCATCCTGCCTTGCAGCAGTGACTGCAGAATGCATACCAGGAATCATTCCCTTCTCAAATGGCTAATGGCCACAGTTCATACTATATGGCCCAATCAGGGTGAATTACCACCTTCCCCTGTTAGATGGCAGATGTATGCCAAGCTCCAACAGGTGTTACAGGAGTTGGGCATGAAAAGGCATTTATAACCAAGTAAATCAGGATCTGGACAAGGACCTGTTTACAGCGGGATGAGGGATCAGTACTGTAAATGGCTCCCCCACCCCTCTTTAAGCCCTCAATAGCCATTCTTGCCTCTCACTTAGGGTAGCCCATAAATGTAGTTACCCATACTATGGCAAATTTGGGAGAGGCTGAAGCAATGCAGGCACAGAAGGGAGTATGGCTCACTATTAAAAGGAAGAGCTTAAAGGCCCTGTGAAAGTCACAAGGACCCACATATGGGTTGATTTGATAGGGGCAGGAGCAGACAGAGAAAAATTGGATGGGAGGTCAAATAAAATCTTACTGAAGCTGTGGCAACAACTGAAGCCAGAGCAGCAGTTTCAGCCACTGAGGACCAAGAGGTGGGGGCCAGATACAAAGCCACAAGTCCAGCCTATGTGCCTGCAAGACTTCCTGCTGGAGAGTGAGACATCCTCACCAGGACCCTCACAGGAAGGAAGATGACTGGGTGATACAGTTTGACTAAGGAGAGGGTTGAGGCACATTCCCTGAGGGATCAGGTGGGGAACAGAGGCCACCTTTTGAAATATCAATTCATTGGTCCCCAGTGAATGTACAACATTTCCTGGCTCTGGTAGGCACAGGAGCTGAGTGCTGCCTGATTTATGGCTACCTTGAGCGGTTTCCTGGAACCCCCACTGCTATAGATGGATACAGGGTTAAGGAAACAAGTGCAAGTGAAACAAGCCCAAGTCCCATTAGGAATAGGGCATCTATCCCAAAAAGGAGTATACTGTGTATGATGTCATGCTTACTTCTGATTCTCTTACAAACAACTGTTTAACACTATTGCAAAAGTTTTGGGGTCTTTTAGACTACTATAGAGTGTTTAGCCTACACTTGGCACAAATTCTGGAGCCCTGATACCATTTGGTATGAAAAGGAGTCAGGTGGGACTTGGGTGAGACATATGTATTTGTCTTTGCCACTGCAAGGTGGGCAGTCAAGGCAGTGCATGTCTTAAGTGTGATAGAGCAGTCAAGGCCCTGTGAGCTGGATTTCCATGTGACCGAAGATGGTTATTGCTGGAGTCTCTGGCAGTGGTTTGAATGAACTTGCCAACCCTACGGGATTCTGGTCATAATTATAGAAAAGAACAGAGGTACGGTATACCTTAATAGAGAAACAATTGGCTACCATGTACCACGTTCTGCTGGCTATGGAGCCCAATATTGGGGCTTGACTCTATAGGTACCAACATGGCACCATGCCAATTGTATGGTTAGTCACTGACCCCTTTGTGTCCAAGAACTGTGGCAAGACTTATGGGCCTCTGGTCAGACTTAGTCCTGGGGACAGGGGAAATGAGGGCTTAGCATTAAGATCCTCAAAAGGTCTAATTTTAAAGGGGCAAGTTCTAATGGGTTTGGGGAGGAGGGAGTGAGGAAAGGTTCATAGAAAAAGAGAAGTTCAGTAAGAAAATTAGAACAAGGAAGTGGAGGGTATAAGGAGGTAGAGACAGACACAAAGAGGCCTCAGAAGCTTTTTTGTCTTTCAATTGTTTGTTCACCTTGTTTAATTTCAAAATGGTATTTGTAAAGAGGCAATTTTAGAATATGCTTGAAAGCCTCAATATACCAGTTGGAATAGACATAACATTCCATGTTTTATTTTAGAGCCATGGTCTTCTAATTTTGTTCTAAGAAAAGCAAGTTTGGGGAGATCAAAAGTTCCCTATAATGGCCATTGGAGTTCTAAATTATTTTTGGTTAAATTGTTTCAATTAGTTAAAAATGCACATAAGGAGTGACCATGGTTTTCAAACATAAAAACAGCGTGGGTCCTAGAAAGAGAATCCCCCTGAGAATTTAGCAGATTAGGATCCCATTATTTAAAACCAGAGGTTCAGAAAACAGAAGAGCACTCACCAGGTAGGAGAATGCCTACATAAAAACAAATAACCAAAAACAGATCCCCTGAGTCAGAGCTCCACCAAAAGGGAAGCTTGGATCCAAGAGGTAACTTACCAAACCAAAAGGAAAATGATGGCTCATGGAAGTGGAGAGCACGAGGGACACTATGGGTATATCACAGAGTTCCAGGGGTCATTACTTCTCAGGGGTTCATCTCCTTCAGGTCCTATCTGGTCACCATGTAATGTTAACCTTAAAAAACAAAAGAGCCTGTTATTTTACCAGCAAAATGAGTTTATTTGGGAACAGCAGAGGAATTGTAATTCAGGACAGGCACACTTTGGTAAACCAAAGGTAAATCTGGAGAACAGAGGAGAGGATCTTGCTTTCATAGGGAAAAGGAGGAAGCTGGGAGGGCCTGTTTTGCTGAGTTCTCACTGGCTGCGCTGTTGCTGGGCCGGAGGAAATTCTTCCTTCCTCCCGCTGGAGTGTGTAGTTAGCTTCTTCCTGATCAGGAATGTGAGGTATGCTTCTTACAGCAAGTGGAAGCACCTGAGAGCTACCCCTTCGGTGCTTCTGAACTCCATTTTAAATGAAGTTTCCTTTATTTATTTTCACACTTCCCACTTTAGAGCTTCCAGACTTTTCCCACGTTCTTCCTCCCTGTCAAAATAGATTTATCCATTCCCTCAAGGCCTTACTCTTTTACTAGATGTCACTGATAGAATTCAGGGTTAAAGGACACTAATATTCGATTATTTTGTTTCCAATGTGGGTCCCAGATAAGAATTGCCAGGAATCTATTAGGAAGGATATGAAATCAGCCTAGTGTATACCCAGCATTGTGCTAGATCCTCTAAGACTGTACCAAAGAACAGAAGAATTGCCACAGCAGGTCTACCCAGCCTACTACTCAGTTGCTAACATCAACAACAAAGGATGTGCTCTGGAAAAAACAGAGGTGGACCTTCATACAACCTTTCTGGAGGAAATGTAGCCAACAGCAAAAGCTTTAAAAACTTAACAGAATCTTTGACCCAGTAATTTTGCTCCTAAGAATTTCTACTAAAGAAGTAATCAGGGACATCAACAAAGATGCAACTGCAATGATGTATATTGGAGCATTATTTATAATCCCAAAAACTTGAAAATAATCTAAATATCCAAAATACAGTATTGGGTAAATAATTCTTTCTATATCCATACTGTATATACATTAAAGTCTCTTTAAAGACAGGTCTCCTTAAAGACAGGAAAAATCTATTGTTGAATGTGAAAATCTCTGTTCTAATTTTATGCACAGAAAAAAGGACTGAAAAAGATATACCCAAAATGTCAAAAAAATGGTTATCTCAAAATGATAGGATTATTAATGACATTTTTTGAGCTATATGTTCCAAGTTTTCCATAAGAAACATTCTTTTTTTATTGGAAAATACAATGAGACATCTATTTTTTTTAATATTCCAAGGCCTGTTTGCCTTCCTTATAACATTAAAGACTAACTATACTCCCAGCTTCTCCTAATATAGCCATTTATGGTTTTGCATTTATAAATGTGTCTAACATTTTTAATCCTTTTCATTTCTGGTTAGTAATTTCTTATCCTTATTCTTTTGAAATATTCATTCAAAGAAGGTTGCAAGAACTATATAGGGAAAACCCATGCTCCCTTTCCTCTGTATCCCCCAATGTTAGCATCTTATACAACTATAGTGCAATATCAAAAATAAGAAATTGACATTGGTACAATCCACAGTGCTTATTCAGATAGCAGCACTTAAACATGTACTCATTTGTATCTGGGTGTATATGTGTGTGGGTGTTCAGCTCTATATAGTTTTACTATATATATAGCCTTGCATAACCACCACTACAACCAAGAAACATTTTTATCACAAGAATCCCTGATGTTGCCCTTTAATAGCCACACTCACCTATCTCCCTCTCTGATTCCCTAACCCCTGGCAACCACTAAACTTTCTTCCATCTCTATAACTCTGTCATTTCAAGAATGTTATATAAATAGGATCATACAGGATGTGACCTTTTGGGATTAGCCTTTTTTGCTCAGCATAACTGTCTAGAGATTCATCCAGGTTCTCATGTGTAACAAGTTTGTTCTGTTTTATTGCTAAGTAGTATTCCAAGGTATGGCTGTATAGTTTGTGTAACCATTCACCCACTGAAGGATATCTGGGCTGGTGCCAGTTTTTGGCTGTTACAAATAAAATTTCTATGGACATTTGTGTATATTTTGAAATTTAAAAAAATTCTCCATTTATGTCACCTAAAAACCCAAGAAAGCAGCCTCCTCCTATATACTTAGACTTGCTGAACAAGTATCCAAGTTTACCTTACCCATATCGGCACAGTTTTATGAGAAACAAGCTAGATTGAGAAAAGAACATGGAGTTATTCCATATTTTCTCTCTGAATTATACTTTTCAATGATCTGTCTCTGCCCCTTGACTATGAACTACATGGAGGCAGGCACCATGACTGAATTACCTCTACTCCTAGGGCAAGGCACAGGGTTTAGCATAGAGTAGGCATTTAGAAAATGTTAGGATCTGTAGGGGTAGGTGGGGTCCAGGGATAGATGATTTCTAACAAACTCCACAGATTGTAATAGGCAGTCAAGGTTAAGAACTACTGTTTAGCTGAATAAACAAATGTTAAGGGGAAAAAGGAAAGCTCATGATAAGAGTGCAGACTCAGGATGTCGGTGGGATGGGGATGGGGAAACTGATATTCTGTTAATCTTTCTCCACCTTACAGAGACAGTTCTGCATTCAGATTAACCTCTAGACTGCATGGTAGGAAATCAGTAATTCCCAGTACTGTGCTTGGGAAGTGCTTTTGTTGAATCCCTGTGGCTGACTGGGGCAAGAAAAAAAAGCTTTCATCTGCCCTGTGTGGTCTTACCTACTTGTGAGGCTGTCCCACACATCTGTAGAACCCCAGACACCTCAGGAGTTTTATGGGAAAAGCATTTGCTGATATGAATTACCCAGAGGTCTTATTTGTTTAGACAGCATAATTATATTTGGCAGAGCTTAGGAGGAGAGGAACAATGTCTCCTTTTATTACCAGATTACCTGGGAAACATGGGCTAAAACTGTCCCTTGACAAATGCCAATCCTGCCAAACCTCAACAAAATATGTTGGACAAATAAAATCACAACAGGGGCTGGGCACAGTCTCTGGAAAGATTACTCAATGACCAGAGTCAACATTTAAAACCACTTGGGGTATTCAGCAGACACTACAGGAGCAGGTTGAAGAATTGTTCAAAGATTGCAAAACACCTCATTAGGTTGGCTTTGGGTGATTAGATCAAAACTGGAACACACACAAGTTGAAGAGGGAAGGCAGGTACAAAATACCAGGGCCTGGCAGTCAGGAACACTTGCGCTTGGTGCAGAACTATGTTGCATATCAAAATAAAGCTGCCCTCGTGGGTAGAGCCCCCAAAAAGGAAACAGGAATTTTCACCTGGGCAAACTTCTATCATGCACCATTCCTCTTACTTGAACTTTTGGAGATTGGAAGGCTGCCTGGCTCAGGGTTCTGTTTTAGTGTGTGCTGTCCAGCACCAAGGCTTTTTATAAACTTACACCAGTTTTCAGGACTTGGGATCTGTGCTGTGTCATAGAGACCCAGAAGCAAGGATAACCATTGCTTTTTGCCAAGTAGTCTGTCAGCTGGTGAGACTTGGTATATCCAACTCAGAAATTTGAGTTGGTAGCCCAAAATAGACATATTACAGACAACATCCTCAGCTACTTGGTACTCTGGAAGGCAGGGACCATAGGCCTTGGCTGACTGTGTGAAGAAAGGGAATCTCCTTTATGGCGGAGAAGTGAACTCCTAGCTGAGTAGGGAGAAAGGAGTAATGGAAATACAGGCTCTGTCTCCGAAATTGAGAAGACTGACAAAGTGCTTTCCCTAAATTTAGTTGGCAGTCATCAAATAAGCTCTAATTGGAGAAGGTGAGCCCTGCCTCATATTCTTTCACAGGCCCTCAGAATGTTCTGTTTCAGCCTCTACCTGCCCTACTGAGAGGGCCAGGTTGAAATCCCATATTGGAAGGCTGTGACCCAAAGATTCCTGTTTTCCACCAAGCTGAGAAATGAGGTGAGAGTTGACATGATCCAGGCGTATGCCCTGGGGTTTACCTTTCTCAAAGACAAAGGAATCGTGACAGCCCAGGAGCTGACAACCATATTTGACAGCAACTAAATAGCTGAAAGGGTAGTACTGTTGCCAAAAGCAGGACTGATGAAAGCAACGAAGGAAGGGCAGGGTTGCTTTAGTGTTAATGCAGTGGGCCTGCAACGGCAACTGTGTACCACCCTGAAGAAGAGGCCAGAAGGCTCCCTGACTGGTCACATTCACACCTCCCCTCTATCAGGAACAGCCAAGATCAGTCTCAGAGATGAGTGGGCAAAGGCAGTGACAGAACGCCATCTAGGATATGCATGGTTAGTGTTGTTCCTCTCTCTCTCTTTTCTGAACCTGTTCTGTATTTAAGTGAGTCTGTGCCCAGACGGGGCTGTGTGGTCTCTGTGGTCTCTGTGCCAATGCCGTCCTATGTAACTCTCCGCCACCTGAATGTCACTGGCATCTGGAGCATCTTGGTTTTGTGCCAAAATTTGTAGAGGAAGGACTTGACCCCCTGCTCACATCTGGACTGCAGAAGGCACTCTCTGTCCTCTTTTGTACTCATCTGGAGGTTGATGGGAGGAACAGTGGGTCTTCCTTATAATGACTCCAGAGTTTTCTCCGCAAGCAGTTTGTAACATAGTTGAGGCTTTAGACTTCTTTAGACATGAATTCAAATCTTGGTTTTACCACTCATTAGCTGTGTGACCATGGGCATTTAATATACTTCTCTGCATCCTAGTATTCCCATCTGTAAAATGAGAATGATGCTATCTACATGATAGGGTTATTGTGCAGTTTAAATGAAATAATGCATATGCATATCAATACCTGACACCTAGTAAGCACACAACAGATTATTATTATTATTACTATAATTTGGGTTGATCACTATGTATTTTCATCCAAGACAGTTTTGGATAGTAAAAAAAAGCTTCAAAGCCAGACTTAGGGTTGGATGCTGGCTCTCCCACTATCTACGCTAGCTTGGGCAAGCCAGTGTTCTTATCTGCAACCTGGGATGCTCCAAATGACCATCAGTATTTCCTACACAGGTAGTGGTAGGTCCAGGTTTTCTGGAGCCT